TTTTAAGTTACTTCAACCAAAATACTGTTTCAGTTAATTTATGCACTGTTCATGCACAATGACTAAGGACAGTGATATACTAGTTTGACGTTCAAGCTGTAGAGAATAATTTCGTGTTTAACACAAGCTTTTGTTTTGAGTACCACTAATTATAAAGTCAAGCCAAGGAGAAAACCACCAGCAAAGCCTGTTGCTGCAGCTGTATTCCGTTTTACATATCTGTAGCCCTGAAAAGAAAAATAGTTTGAATAATGAGAACCATTTGTTTAAGAATTTAAGCACTTATCTGACTGATATTGTATTGATATTGTAAGGAGAAATTCTGGTTTTGTCACTCATGGGAGTTTAAGGGTTAAGGCTCATCCAATATTTTTATCACCTCTCTTAACCTTCCCTTTGAATACTGAATGCATTCATAAGACTATCACAAATTTTTAAACAGTTTTGCCGTCATATTATTAGGTAGAGTTCACCAAAGGGCTATAGAGAATTGATCTAATTGTCAAACGCAGAAAAAAAATTGAAAACACCAACCACAAAAAAATAAGTTCAAAATAAATAAAATTTCAACTTTAGGATTTGTTTCATACCCTGTTTGCAAGAGCAATAACTCCCTTTTCAATTTCTTCCTCATTTTGTTTCATCTTTTTTACTTCCTTTTTAACCTTTGTAGTAATTTTATCTACATCCTTTTCCATTCTCTTCCAGTTAATGTTGATGTAACCAGCTCTGTGAGCAACCTAAGAAGGCAAAAGGAAAGAGTTAATTTCTATCATAGCTGAACTGCTGGTGAATATTGTGTGATTACACTTAACCCTTTAACTCCTATGAGTGACCAAGAGAGAATTTCTCCTTACAACATCAATACAATATCAACCAGAAAAGTGATGGGAATAAAGAAAAATATCAATTTGGGGTTAATTAGTAGATCCAATACTAAATTCTCTGAACTGATAAATGTAAGAATTGTATGGTTGACAGCAAGGAGAATTACAAATTTGATCTGGGAGTTAAAGAGTTAAGATAATAAATTGATTGTGAAGTTTGATCATTCCAGCAAATTTGCTATAAAGAGGAGTTTTGACTGAGTTTTGACAACCAAAATAGAAATTATTTCCAGAGTCAAGTGATGAGTTGTTAGGGATGTTTTATAAATCTGGTTCCTGAAAACTGATTGGTCAGTTCTTCTGAGGTTTTATTAAGCAATAGACCTCAGATTCTGTGAACTGGTGTAATGGCTTAAACAGGATGTTTGAGAACATGATAAAAGTCTGTAAATCACAATCTGTGGGTGAGTAGTTCAAAAATCTTTTTTAGTGTTTTCCCAAGATCCAAATTGAGTTGATATGCTGGTAGACTGATATAAAGTGCAGTCCATTGCTTTTATAAAATAACTGTGGGTTTACCAGTGCAATCAATGATAGGTCTTGGACCAAGCAGCCTGCTTGTAGTGTTTTAGTTATAATACAATTGGCTGTATGACTCCAAAAGTGTGAGTCAGTCATGACAGATCACTTTGGATTCTTTGGTGAAGTAAGGACATTCTGTTGCATTTGGCTGTTTTGTCAGTGTTTTGTCTAAGCTGTTTCTATGTTGTAAGTTACTGAAATTTGTTCAAGAAAGTGCATGTGCTAAAAGTTAGTAAACCAGCTCTCCAAATTCTGTCAATGAAAGTAGTTTGCAAACCTGTATTAGAAGTATTCCTCCTCCAATGGCAGACAGTGTTAGTTTACCAACTCTTTTACACACATACCCAGCAAACCTGCAATGACAGCAACGCAATCACTCTTTGAGCCAATGACCAGCTCTTAAACGTAACAATTCAAAAGCTTCTATTCACATATTAGAGTCTTCCTTAATCAGGAGCTTAACAAAGAACACAAATAAAGGAAATTACAAAGCACACTAATGAAATGTTCTCTCTTGTTACTGTACTCAAAACTCTTCTTTCTACGATGCTGATTAAGCTTATTACTACATCAGCAGTTTTCCAATACCAGGAATGGAGGTGTTATCTTAATTCGACATAATGAGTAAATGTGCCTTTTTTTCTGAGAAATCATTCTAGAATGAGGCCATTAAGTCAGTCACGCTCAGTATTCTTTACATGAAACAATTTGTCCATCAGAATCTAAAGAATCCCATGAAGAGCAATCAAGTATCGACGTTCAGCTGCAATCTACATACCAGCCCGAAATTCCCCCGATACTAATTTGTTGAACAACTGGTCGCCCTGCTAAGTCCATAGTGATCAGTTGTTCTACTAAATTTCTCGATCCCGGAGTCTCGATCACTTCATAAACTTCACTTTCATCCTCCTCGTGATCGCCTGAAAAGCAAGAAATAGCAAGTACAAATGTTATATCTGATGATATTGTTATGTGTTGCTACAAATTTTAATTTAACCGAAGGAAGGTGTGAAGTTTGATCAGTCCCAAGTAGAATCCGAATTGTGTGAGAAAGAAATCTGATATCTTTCAAGATTTTCTTGAGTTTTCACTCGTTTGCAGCTAAAAAAAAGAGTCTCAGATTGTCTATCCAACACAAGAGTCACGCAAAGACATGCATACAGAGATGGTTAATTTGTTTACATCCAAACGCCGAGATGTTTCGCTGTTCGAACGTTCTGATAATAGTAACGTTAAGACTAACGGATGACTAAACAGATTACTGAAAATTAAGCCTTTTTAACCATAAAGAAGAGGAACATACTTTGCGACATTTTCTGCGACGAAATACTGATGAAATATTACCTAAATGTTAGGGCCAAAGTTCATCAAAGAAGGAACGACTGTATTAGGTGCTGAAATGTACTCATTGAAAAGGGCCTTTTATCCTTCGGTTTTTCCCTGGTTGTTTAAAAATAATTAGAACGGTACTCTACGACTAGAAAAATAATGTTTTCCCGATTAACTTTGTCAAAATAACCAACAATTCATCTTAACGCAGATTTTATCAGTTTCGTTTGACAAAACCAAAGTGCCCTACGAAGAAAACAAAGAATGTCCCTATTTGACTTCGGTTTACATGACGTAAAAGCGACCGGCCATATTGTGTCCAAGTCTCCATGGTAGTCGACATTTTCTATGTTTATTTATTGATCTGTGCAGAAAATTTATCAAATCCTGTAATATTCGTTTTTATTTCGGCTAAATATTGAACGAGGGTGGAGTTAATGCTTCTTGATGGCTTAAAAATTCTTCTTCGTGTGATAAATCGGTGTTGAAAGAGGAAAGTTCGATCTTCAAACATTCAACTTTGCAAATCCATCCGCCATCATGAGTGAACAACTAAAATATATTGTGGATGAGCTGAACAAGGAACCTTTCAAGAAGAACTATAACCTCATAAGGTAACCGTTGAATTTTCCTTTCTAAAACAGCTTCGATAATAATGTCACTGCGTGGTTGGCAAGTAATTAAGCCTTGTAATAATTTTCAAAATTTAGCCTTCGTAATTTTTAAGCCATTTAAGTTTTCCAGACGACATGTCCTTACAAAATTTTCTGGTTTTCACATTTTAAAACCAGTGTTGTTTCTATTTGATTGTCTTTCATATTATGATTACGAACATTCAACCGAGGAAAAGACAACTTCAGTGATTGCAAGGAAAGATTTGAAACACAACGTATATCTTAAATTGGAATCAGCCCCCCAAAAAACAGGCTTGTCAGAGTTTATGATGGATCTATCTAATGGGAAAGTACCTGATTCAAACTTGAATTTTAACCCATAGGACTTTCATTTTCTTTCAGCTTTGATTCTCTGCAGCCACTACAGTTGCTTCAAGTGCTGAATGATGTTTTTGCAGAAATCAATCCCCAGGTTGGTGATGTATGAGCCTCTTACGCTGAAAACAATTTTTACCTAACAGATTTTCTAACAATATGCCTTTATATTTTTCTTATTGAAATATTACTCAAGATTATTATTATTATTTGTTTGTCAACAGCACAAAATTGATCTTCGAGATGAAGAGCCAGAACAAATGGCGAAAAGGATGTTCACATTTTTGAGAATCTTGAAATTCAAGCCAAAAACAGAGTCTGGAAGCTTGTGAGTGATATTAATCCTTTCACCCCCAAGATCTCCTCAGTATTATTCTTACTGTCTGCCGTATAATTCTTATGATGTTGGTTTGGAGAATTTGGTATTGGATCGATTACTGATGACGAATCCCCTAGTTTACATTTTTCTCTACTTTCATCTCTTGTCTGCTTGATATTGTTGTAATATTTGTATAGGTAATAACATGATTTCTGTAATTCAGTGTTAACCCTTTAACTCCCAGAAGTGATTAACATGAAACTTCTCCTTGTAATATCCTTTTATTATCTGGCAAACAGGTAATGAGAATATTCAAACTTCTTAGATAGAAGCTGTTATCTTAATTTAGCACCAAGTTCTCATAACTAATTTACAAGGAAATGAGTAGCAGCTAAAGGGGAGAATTAACACTCAGATCTTGGGAGTTACAGGGTTAATAAGCACAAGTGGTGTAAAAAGAAAATTTACAAGTGTTTACTAAAACCAAATTGCAAGAAAAGTCATGTTATTCCTTGTTAATCATGTACATGAAAAAACATCACAGTGAGCCAAAACAAACAAAATTTTGAAAGTGTGATTGCAATTTGTAATTTACACCTGTTTTGCAACTTTGCATTCATGTTGCATGCTAATAGACTTGTTTTCAGCCAATCAAAAGTGCATAATTTTTTTTCATGTACATTATTCTAGGGAAAAATTATGTCTTGGTTGCTCATGGGAATTAAAGCATGAAATGATTTTTATCCTTTTTAAATTGCAAATCACTATCTATAAGGATTTTAAGGCATTTAATATATTAACCCTTTTAATTACTCCCAAGATCTCATTAGTAATTCTCCTTACTGTCTGCCATACAATTCTTGTGATGTTAGTTTGGAGAATTTCATTTTGGATCAACTTATAATCCCCTGACTGATATTTTTCTTCATTCTGATCACTTATCTGCTTGATATTGTATTAATATTGTAAGGAGAAATTCTGTCTTGGTCACTCATGGGAGTTAAAGGGTTAAACTATATTTATCACTGTAGATAAACCTCAAAGGCTAGCAAAATGACAGTCCTTGACTTTGAAAAATGCAGAAGCTCTTCAGATTCCAGACATTGAATGTGACAAGAAAGTCAACCAAATGCAATAATAACATTTCTTATTTGTTGTCAAGAGAATTAGCGATGCTTAGTTTTCCTTGGTGTTCATTTTCACCAACAGAAACCAGAGTTATTTCTTTGTGGTAGCCCCTGATCTATCACCTTGAATTGCTGCAGTTGTAACATACTTCTTTGTAACAAATCATTTATCTCTTATTCTCTTTAAAAACCACACAGGAATGCCTTTCGTAATGGGCTCATTCAAGGTGACAAGTTGGTTATTTACCCCATTCTTCAATGGCTCTTTGAAAATCTGGCAGAATTGAAGACCAGAGCTTATCTTGCGAGATATCTGGTAAAGTTAGAGATTCCTCCAGACCAACTGGCAGATCAAGAATTAAATGAGCTTAATGAGAATGTAAGCATTTACATTTCTTTTTTGCAAAATGCACCAATAAGCATCTCCCTCTTCTATAGAGGCTGAGTGAGGCTTTATAATGAATATTTCTTTAAACAAGTTCTGTGTAGTGGGTCAAATCAAATGATCTACCAGATATCACTAACCATTGTCATTTCTACACTTACTTTTTACGACGTGTGCAGTCACTTTTTTGCAATTTATTGTCCCCTCCAAACTCGGTGGGAATTCAGTGTTGGATAGAGAACAGTAAACAAGATATTTCATTTGACCTTACTGAGTGATGTTCACTAGCATTGACATCTTCACTAAATTTGTTTTATTGATGTCAGTATTTAGAACTGATGGAACAGTTCAAAGACCTACACAAGACAGTTGATCAACTCAGGACGTCTGGTCTATCAACTGGGGAAATAAAAAAGGTCAGAACTGTACAAGAACTTGTATTTTTGTTATGAAGGGCTCTATGTCTTCTGTCTCATCATCATCATCATTGTCACAGTCACTGTCAGGATCATTAAAATGATTTTAGTCAGTGTGCAGTGTATAGATTTTATTATTTCTTTCACTTTTAGGACATAGTAAACATGGAGGATGAAAAAGAACAACTGCAGAAGAGAATTGACAGAATGCAAAAAAAGGTAAAACCCAATTACCACAACTGATGTAAGTTCTGTTTCCTATTTTACTGTGTTGTTACACAATCACATAGGTAGGTCAGTGGTTTGCAAATCACTTATCACTCCTCCCTTAAATAATCGGCTTGTTTCATTTGTAAATTCTTGAAACTAAGGGAAGTTTTAACACAGAGCTTATCTTATTTTAGGTGGAGAATGTGCGGAACTATGACAAGATGTTACTTGCTGCACGGAATTTGCGAGTTGAGAGAGAAAAGGAACACTCACTTGGTCAACAGAAGTTGGAGCAGAAGAACCAGGTAATCAGTTTTCCTGGTGAAAAATAATTGCATTAAAGTATTGGATTGATGATATGTGTCTTGCATGGTCAAGCCTAATATTAAGTGAAAAGATTTTTTAAAATTTGCTAATATTGCTCCCACTTTGAAGATATACCTGACTCAAGGCATGTGGTGCATGTTATGAACCATTTGACAGTGATTATTGGTGATCACAGCTAATATGGTTTAGATATTAAACTGGTATGGGGGTATCACTCTTAACACTTGTATCTATTTTTGAAATCTCATGAGTAAAGTCTAATTTAAACATTTTGTAAAACATTCCAACAGTATCTGCACTCAGACCAACGTTATCAGCGTATGCAACAACAGTTAAAAGATATGAGGACTCAGGGTGTTGGCACAACTGGGGCAGGTAATGAACATTTTGAAGCTCTTCTCTGATTTTGATTGATGATATTCTGTATTTATCCTTAGTGGTCACTGAATTGAAATGGGAAACTTAATAGATATTGATTGAAAATTTAAAATTGAGGTGTTTTATATTTTAAGTTTTGCATGGAATTAACAATTATGAAGTATTTCATCACCAGGCGAGAGTTTGGCTCAGTTTTGTGATGAATTTTCATCATGATTCTTTTATATGCAGTCTTACATTTTAACTTGCAGATCTGATTAAGAGACTAGAGGAGGAGAACAAAGTTAATGCTTATCTCTGCCAAGAAAAACTTCCCAAGGTAATGGTCAGCCACAGATCTGCTAAAGAAAAACACTGTAACTGTTTTTTTTGTCTATTGTGATATTTTGGATACTGAGTAAGGTCATCAAGGTGCTAACTTGAATTGGTTTCAGACTGATGTGTGATATATTTTATTTGAATCACAAGGAATTGGAAGGAAAAAAGAAGTATGCTCAGGATTTACAAAAAGTGGCAGACGAACCAGCTATGGGTCAGGCTGATTTGGATGAACTCAACAAAAGGGTCAGAGGAAAATAATTTGGTTTTATTTAATAAGATACTTGTAGATGACAGAGAACTCCATAATTATTATTACTAAGACACTCTTCAAATGTAAAACAAAATGTTTAATGTTGTGTCTGATTGTGTTGTTTCATTTGTTTTACATATACATCAGATTAAACAACTCTCAGCAGAAATTAACACACTGATTGAAAAGAGAATGGTGAGGAATGATCCTATTGATGACAAGTTGTCTCTCTTCAGGCAGCAAGTAAGTTATTTCTTTTGAAAAATCCTCCAAACTTCACTATCTTTTAGTTGTTGTGGTTTGTTTAGTGTCATCAGATTCAAGGAAAAAATTTAATCGTGGGATCTTTGGGTAACATTAATGCATTTGTAAGAAAGAACA